TTAATGGGAGTTCAAGACCATTCAAGAAAAAGTGAATTTGGAAATTATTAATTTCTTTAACTGGAAGTTCTCTAAGGTTTCCATGTCTCAAATTTGTATGCAGGACCCTTTCTAGGAAGAAAAATCATAAAGAAGGAATTCATGTTAAGATAAAGGTCTCAGTTTATGAGAGGTATAACAAATGTGTTGTGTATTTACATATGATTGTGAGAAAATGATATATGTGTGTATATGGATGTATATGATGTGTGTGAGGTGGGAGGGTGGAGGGGAGAGAGAGAGAGAGAGAGAGAGAGTAGGCATGCAGGTGTCTGGGAACACAGGTGGACGTTTGAGCTTATGGAATTGAGAGGTGCTTGTATTCACACTCCCCAACCCCCAGTTTCTAAGATAGGGTCTCTTTTGTTTTCTAAATGATAGGAATATCTGTCAAAGAATTGTCTGCTGATTCCATTGTCTCCAACTCCCATCCTGGAAAAAGCTTCTAGTCTAGAGATACCTGGGTCCAGTTTTTTGTTTTATTTTGCTTTTTTATGTAAATTCTGATGATCTGAACTAATGTCCCAAAGCTCATAACTCAATTTCCTTAGATATTGAACCATATTTTCAGGTACTTGTGTACATTCTTCAAATTTTCATTTAGCTTCTAATTTTACCTTGTGTGATGGTTAATTTTGAATGTTAATGGAATTTTATCTGGAATGATCGATGACAAAGGATTCTAGGTACAACTGAGCTTCTGAGGGATTAATTAATTGCGGTGGGAAGACTCACACTAGACTTAGGCTGTACTGTTTGTTAAGCATGGTTCCTGGAATGCATTAAAAGGAGGAAGCTCAATGAGTATGAGAATTCATTGTCTTCTGCTTTGTAACTAGGCAAGCCACTTGACTAGCTCGTAACAGAACTGCCCTACAATGATGCCATGAGCCCTCAAACTCTGAGCCAAAGAAAACATTTCTTGTGTAAATAATATGCTAGAGCATCTTTTCAAATGAATAGGAAAAGAAAGTATGAAACATGTAGGTAGTAGTGAGACTGTTTTATGGTAAGAATCAACCAACCAAGTTGTTTCTTAGCCATTGGGACTGTTTCGTGTCAAGAATCTGGAAAGTTTTGGTCATAAATAATCCTAACTTGTATTTATTAAGCAGAATATAATAGGCCATTCTGATGGGAAATTGGAAGACAAGACTACTGAGAGAAAGTGACCCCAGTGAATCTGCATAGTAACTGCAGGTCCCTGAATAACCTAGGGAGGAAATGAACTTCCAAAAGTCTGTCTCCAAAGTCTGTGGAGAGTCATAAAAAAGCACACTGGAATCTAAGCATCAAATTACAAATTTATACTTATTAAACAATAAAGAATGTATGCTATACAGCATAAAATATAAAAGTGAAATCACATAAGGGAAAATAGTATAAAAATATAAGTGAAAATATTTGTAATTAATATAACATGGGAAAATGAAAGGAAAAAACAGAAGAAATGTTCTGGAGTAAGCTTTCCTGAAATATGGGTAAGTGAGAGGAGGAAGGGAACATTCAAAAGAAATGAGCAGGGACTTGAGAAGTGCTAACTCAAGGCTCAAGTTCATAATCTAAAAGCAACACCTTGTGTGCCTCTACTGGTCAGTATTGGCATGTTTAATATTTTTTGAAGAATTCCAATTTCTAGACAAAACTGGAGGATCCAAACAAATTTTATCAAATGATAGAAAAACTCTTTGTAAAAATACATTTTTTTTTTGTAGAATAATCAATATTTAAAGGAGAAAGAGAAGCTAAATGTAATTTCATAGAAGTAAGAGCTGAGCATGGCCTGGATATCTCTGGCTTGTTATGGTTAAGAAAACTGAATTTAGTAACAGGTTTATGCAACAGCAAGTGTCCCATATTCAGTGTGTTAAATATCATTAACTATTTCATTATAATACTATTAGGACACACACACACACAGAGGGACCTTCTAATTTTCTTAGACAATAGCTCAAACTGTATCCCAAGACAGCTGAAATCAACTTTTGTCTTCCAATCAGTGGCTATAATACTGTTCCAGACTCCCACAGGGTGGGATTACAGGTATGAGGCAGCACACATGATTGAGAAATGCATCTGTTTATAAAATGACTGTAAGTATGAGCAAAAGATGCCTCTTGGCACTGGTCGTTATTTCAGTGGATAATCTTGTAAATACAACCAAATACACCTAGTAATGAAATAGTTAATGATATTTAACACACTGAATATGGGACACATATATTGTTTATGCCTTTGTGTTGTATCCTGAATGATTAATATATCATTACTTTTGGGTAGCACAAATTTTTTGATCCCCACATTCTTCATCAGGGACAACAAGTCATTTATCATATAGATTATAACATAGTAATATTCCTTGAATATTTTGGATAAAATTGTTATATATATTAAAAATAAAGTATTGTAATGGTCAATATACATTGGGAGATTATTGAGAAGCATTTTGTTAAAAATATTAATTTAGCTCCCACTTCCTTAAGAGATCCTCAACCTGTCACTCACACAGAATCTTGACTCAAACTCTATTGACCTTGGCACTCAGAGGCAGGAGCTTGGGTTTTCTGACCTGGAATTGGAGTTAAAGAAGCAGTGTTCCAGAAATTGTCAAGTTGGAACAAACCTATTCTTCTGTTCAAAGGGCTTTTCTAGGACATAAGCAGCTATCAAAAACAGACAGAGCCAGAGAATACATCATCCTGACCCTATTATTTTTTCAAACAATGCTTTTAATTCCAAATAAGTAGAGTTCTAATATACATGTAAACCTGTGTTCACAGATACAAGTGGAGTCAGGATGAACTTTCTCAGCTGAACTTCCTGTGTTTCCTGTGAGAAGTTCTCAGTTTCACATTCATTCAATTAACTGTGTAAAAATTAATCTCTTTCAATTGTAACAGCAGTTTGTTTGATGGATAGCCACATTCCTGTATTTGACTCCCTCCAACTCCATTGTTTGATAACATATATACCTCAATTTCAAAAGTCTAGGCACATGGAAATGTGTGAGGGTTAGACAGGCATGATAGTTCACACCTGGAATCTCAGAACTCAGAATGATGCTGTGGGACTTAGGTTAGAGGCTAGAGTAGGTTTCAAACATAGAGAAATCACAAGATAGATAGGTGATAGGTAGGTAGGTAGAGAGGTAGATAGCTAGCTAGCTAGATAAAGAAAATGGGAGGAATCTCTAATTACAGTCTTCTGGGAAGAAAGTGAAAAGAGGAATATGTCCTATGAATATTGCTTGAAATATTTCCCCCAAATCAGTAAAAAATATTACTTGAAATGTGTAGGTGAAGTTTTCTCCAGTCCTGCTCAGCCTGCAGCTGCTCAGATCCAAATAAACACACAGAGACTTATATTATTTAAATTGTATTAATAATTTTTATTTAATTTAATAAATTTTATTAAATATTAACTAGCTCTTACACTTAAATTAACCCATAATTATTATTTATGTTTACCATGTGGCTTGGTACCTTTCCAACATTGCAGAGAAACCTTGGGTGACTGTCCAGGCAGCTGGCTGTTTCTGTCAACTCACTTTTTTTGGAAAGCCACTTGCATGCACATCTTGTATTTTTAGGTAATATTATTTCCTTCTTGGGGCTCTGAGGGAGTTGAAGATTAGATAGTTATGGTTACAGTTAGTTGAAAATTAGATAGTTATAGTAAGTTAAAGATTAGATAGTTATAGTTAAAAATTAGATAGTTATAATTATAGTTTTCCTTGTTAAGAATTTCAGAAAAGAAACTCACTAAAGAGGTACAAGTGTTTAAATTACAAAGACATTATAAGATATTTCTGGTAGTAATATAAGTTAGGATAGAAAGTGAATCAGGTACATTTTGGACTAAGCAAAATAGGATAGATAATGAAATATTTTCTCCGCGTCTGTCAAATGCAAATGGACTAGACATTGTTTAGGTATTTATTGCTTGTATATATTATATAGTTATTGTACTTATTGTATATAGTTTTTCTTATATTAGTTATAACTTTTTTCGTTTTATTAGAATAGAAAGTGGAAATATGGTGATATTTTATTTGTGCTGAAATGTGATTTTATTTGTATGTTAATAAGTGAAGTTGACTGTAGATCAGAGCTCAAAGCGAGTCATAAGCAGAGTCAGGCGGTGGAAGCACATGCCCTTAATCTGATCACATGGCAGGCAGAGTCTCTGTGTGTTCAAGGACACAGCCAAGCATGGTGACATGAACCTTTAATCCATACCAACCATAGAGACCTGGAGGTCTGTATAGACAGGCAGTGATGAGGAAGCCATGTGGTTGAGTTTAGAGCCAATGAGAAGGCAGAACAGAAAGGCAATAAAAAGACAAGTCAGACAGGAAGAAGCTCTCTCTCAGGGGAAGCTACTGCTGGTGGTAAGCTAAAGCTAGTTGTGGCTCTTGCTCTGATCTCTTTGGCTATTAGCTCTGTATTTGGCTCTGTATTTCTTATTTAATAAGACTGTTTAGAAATTCATCTATGGAAATGTTTTCCAAATTCAGTAAAATAAAGTAAAGTCTACTATATAATTTAATATAAATATAACTAAATTTCTTATAACATTCCAGAATATGCTCAAATAAGATCATACCATAAAATAAATGACTCAATTTTAAAAGTTCCCTGTGTATTTAGGTAACAAATAGGCAGTGCTATCTACTTATGTAAAGCTAAAACATACCTGTTTTGTGAGTGCTGATTCCAGCAATTCATGTACACAAACTTATTTCCTTGAAGGTTTAGTTTTAATTAGGCATGGTTTTCTCTGTTAAATATTATAAAGTGTTGAAATTATACCACTGATAAATTGGATGCCCATTTTATCCTATTGGGAAGTATAAATCACAGTGTGTACAATGTTTAAAATTCCATATTGAGAATTTTAAGAGAAAAGTGGTAATTTGTAGTCATAAGATAACTCTTTATCTTTTTTTTTTTTAAATACAGGCTCTTGACACCTGCCAGGAACCTGGGAAGGCTGAATTCAGATCTTCACCTCTCCTGCTTCTCCAGATCCAATCCTCTACTCTCCTCCCCAGCTGGGCAGCAGTAGTCCTGGTGAAGCCTCCCCCTACATCATCTCTAGTAGATTTCACAAACCTTCTCCTATTTCTTGGTTAGGGTTTCTACTGCTTTGAAGAGACACCACGACCACAGTAACTTTTATAAGGAAAACATTTAATTAGGCTTACAGTTTCAGAGGTTTAGTCCATTATCATCACAGCAAGAAGCAAGGCAGCATGCAGGCACACATGGTGCTAGAGAGGGAGCTGAGAATTCTTACATCTTGACTCACAGGAAACAGCAAGTGGTCATGATGTTTCTTCACAGCAGCAGAAATCCTACCTAAGACAGAAGTTGGTACCAGGGACTTGGGTATTACTGTGATAAGCCTGGCCATGTTTTTGTTTGAAGGAATATGTACCTTGAGATTGCCAATCAGAAAAGTAGCTGAACTCCAAGTGTTGCTTAATGGGTCATACTAGTAGGAACATGGAAGACAGTGATGCCTAATGTGATTTGATGAACTGTGGGGGGCTGGCTCAAGAGGTTTCAGAGGAGAATATTAATATGTGGCCTAGAGATTGTTCTTGTGATATTTTGGTGAATTGTGTGGCTCCCTTTGGCTTTCGTCTGAAGAGTCTGCCAGAGGCTAAAGTGAAGAGCTTTATTTTATTTATTAATTTCATTGGCAGAGGAAATCTCAAAATAGCCTAGTATAATAGCTCTGTATTGTGGTTATTAGTGGTAACTCTTATAAAGATTTATAATGAAAAGGAGCAAGCTGAGCAGGATAAATTACAAAATGTAAAATTTAAGGATAAAAGAAGCACCAAAAACGGAACAGAGCTAAGTCTTTTGTTCAAGCAGATAAATAGATTAAGAAATGAAATAGAAGGAGTGGTGGCCTCAGGGCAAGATGTCACCTAGCTAAGTTTCCAACTTGTGAAAAAAGCTTAGTGCTGGGTGTGGTGGTGTACACCTTTAATCCCATCACTCAGAAGGCAGAGGCTGGCAGATCTCCGAGCTTGAGACAAGCTGGTGTACAGAACAAGTTTGAAGACAGCCAAGCTTAGGAAGTAAAGGGAAACAGAAAGCTGATAAAGATGTAATTAAATGAGGAGACCATGTTTCAGCCCCAGCAAGAAGCAAAACTTGGCAGCTTTGGCCGTGTGGTTCTGGAGTTAAGGATAGAAAGAAAGGGCTATGGAGTTTGCCTCTGCATCTAAGGAAAGCTGCTGAGGAGTATCCCTGAATAGAGGCCTAGAGAGGCCACTGTATGAAGCTGTGATGTTGAAGCCTGGATTGTCTTGGAGAACCTCAAGATGTTGGAGATGCCAGAGCTGTGGGATGCCTTATGAGGAGAGCTGCTAACAAGGAGTGGAATCAGTCAAAAGTCAGTCAAAGAGAAAGAAGTATGTTGTAGGCATCAAAGCTGAAAGGAGTTGGAGATCTGAAGAACATTTTGACATCAGACATGGAGATGCAGAGTTTGGAATTTGCCCAGCTAGTTTTTGGTCATGCTTTGGTCCAGTATTTTTCATTTTCAAATAAAACCTGAGAGGAAAACACTCCGTTGGGTGAATACTGTGATATAAAGGAGGAATGCCAAGTTTAAATGTAATCTAGTGCCCAGTTTTCCACTGGATAGAATACAGAAAATTTATGTCACTTTGTGTTCCCTTAAGCTACTGTGATTTGACTGTATTTGCACAACATATATTCCTACATATCTTAACTGCATTAAGTAATAGAACTTTGACAAAGTTTATAATTCAGCTTCTCTCAGTGTAATCTTTTACTCTCAACATTAATTTTCTAACATAAACGTTGAGAAATATTCTCAGTCTTATTAAACTTAATACTTCAGTATGGAAGTTTACAAGAGAAAGAAGAAGTATTAAATACCTTAAGTCATACAAAGAGATGAATGATGACCCATACAACACACTACCATTTATTTGGAAGTAAATACATCTGTAAAGTAAGCCACAAACCATTTATGGATCCCTAGTGGACAACAGCGTTTCTGTTTGTGTGTCAGGTAATTGGGGATCAAACTCAAGTCTCCTATATTTCAACAAGTATTTTTCTAATAATATTATTTGTAAACCCTTATAGTGTGTGTGTGTGTGTGTGTGTGAGTGTGTGTGTGTGTGTGTGTGTGTGTGTGTGTGTGTGCGTGCATGCCTGTCTGTCTGTCTGTCTGTCTTTGTGTACTGAAAGAAGACATAGCAAGAAGAGAATCTTATATGTATATGGATGGGGATGTGTGTTTAGGTTCACAAATGAGACTTCCAGGTAAATGTTACAAATAATGCAATATTACACAACTAGAACATATTGGAAATAAAGCTGCAGGAATGCAGGGAGTGTTTTATTCATTGAAATGTGTAATATTTAAAACACTGAAAAAACTATAATACGTGGAAAGAATGAAAGTTTCCAAAAGACAACAATCATTGCTTTCATGATTACTACACTGGTATTTGGCACGTTGTACTTTATTTTGTGTGTTCAATCTGGGTATACCTAATATTTTCATGATTAAAGAAAAATCAGTGTGAGAATTCTCTTACCATCATGTATTTCTATTTTCCTGTTTCGTGGCAGCTACATTTTTATAGGCGAAACATCTGATGGCTGGTAAGGCATCTGTCACATCCACGCTTCGCACATTTTCCATGGAAGGTGTACAGTGCACAGGAAACTGGCTGCTCTGCAGTCTCCCCTTTGAGGACGACTTGTCCTTCACATTGAATGTGTACTAGGAAAAGAAAATGTTGACACTGGTGCATAGAATCCAGCATCTGACTGTGCATGGATAAAAAAATGGAAGGCATTGAATAAATCAATTAAAAGGGGTATTAATGTCATTGTTCATTCCAAACAAATCGTGCTTTGAATTTTGTCTAATTTATATTTAATTTGTGAAAAAAAACAAGAACTTTCCATAGTATGTGAACAAAACAACTTAAAATTATAAAATTAAAATGGTAAAATATTGGTATAACAAAATAAAAGAGTTTTGTTTTTGTTTTTTCTGACTAGGGGAATTTTTACATAATTGGTCATTTCTTATATGTCTAAATATATAACAGTTTGTGTTTAAATTAAAATGGTTTCTGTTAAACTTTACAATGAAATGATATAGTTTAATTCTCATCACCAGGAAGCAGGGTAACATTTGTATTGTGATACAGATTAGCTTCAGAGATTAAGCCCAAGATCTGTTAATAATTGCTTTAGAGTTAAATGTGAAATCATTTTTTGTGAATAAATATGATTTTACAAGTAAAATGATATTCACACAAATATACCATAATCTGAAGTCCTAGTCTAGAATTTGCATGTCTGTATCATGGCTAACTTGACAAAACACGATTCCTGTGTTAGTTATGTCTATACATTATGCTACATTTCTGAATCATTTGTATTTATTATTCAAATTCTTTGTTTTACTTGAATAGTGATGTGTAGCAGGATCTCAAAGAGTTTTATTAATAAAATCAAACCTGGGGCCAGTTATTAGGGTGAACACTGGAAGACCAGAGAGACAGAACAAGCCACAGCTAACCTCACCTGGTCAACTTCTCAGTTGGTCTTGTTTCCTCAGACTGGAAGCTTCTGTGTCCTCATATCTGAATGGCTCTCACCTGAGCTGTGCTGCTTGAAGCCTGAAAGCTTAACCAGCCAAATGCTTCTAGTTTCTGGTCCTCACGCCTTATATACCTTTCTGCTTTCTACTACCAGTCCCTGGGATTAAAGGCTGCTTTCTGGGATTAAAGGCGTGTGTCACCACGCCTGGCCGTTTCCAATGTGGCCTTGAACTCACAGAGATCCAGAGGGATTTCTAACTCTGGAATGTTAGGATTAAAGGTGTGACTGCCACCATTTTCTAGCCTTTGTATCTAGTGGCTGTTCTGTCTCTGACCCCAGATAAGTTTATTAGGGTTCACAATGTTTTGGAGAACACAATACCACCACAGTGATGCACAGTTCTTATAAAGCAAATGACTTTGGTGGAGCATGAGTGTTATCCAGTGCTGTACATTTAAAGTTCCAGGACTTGTGCCTCTGTCCCTGATTTTCTAAGAATAAATGACACCTGCACATTTAAAATGGAGCAAAAAAAAAATTACTCATTGCATTTAAAAAGGATTGCTGTTAAAAGGAAGTAAACTGTAGCCTCTTCACGTTCTGATTGTGATTGCTCTGTGTTCTTGACTTCCTAGATGAACAGTAGTGACCAATGTTATAAAAGCAAGTTTTGAAGGTAACTGTAGTGGGTAGCTGTTCCAGCTTTGACCTTGAAACACTGCCTCTAGTGTGGCAGCAGGCAACTGCCACACCTGCCTATGACCTGCCCCTGGGGCATGGCTGAGATAAGACCCCTTAAGACCCAAGATGTATACATGCTTTCTCTCTTGATTCCTCATGATCCTGGATGTTGGAATGTAGAGCAAGTCAGAGTTTTCCAGAGACTCACGCTGGGCTGCACCTCATCTTTCCCAGATCCCATAACTGACCCCTTAGTGGCTGAAAGTTACTCCTGAAATAAACCCCTTTTAATTACCAGATAAACTATGTGGAATTGCCTTGTTAATTGCTCCAATAGGTGATGTCAGTGGTAAATGTCTTAACTCATCAATAACAACATTCTTTTATATATACTTCATTTATTGTAATTATTTAAGGTTAAATACTCATTTTGTATACTTTCTTCTTCAACCTCTTTGTCCTGTGTCCCATGAAGACATTCAAAACCCATTCTTCTTATAAAGATTTGGAATCATAAGTACAGGCTGGCTCTATAAACTGTCCTCACTAGTGTGAATGGAGATTTCCTGTCCTGGCTGCTTGGATCCAAATAAACACCCAGAGGCTCATATATTAATATAAATGTTAGGCCAATATCTTAGACTTATTACTAACTAGCTCTTTCATTTAAATTAACCCATTTCTAAGAAACCTATGTATGGCCATGTGGCATTTGGCTCTACCTATCCTCTGGCATCTTGCTTTCCTGGCAACTGGCTGGCATCTCTCCTGACTGTGCCCTCTTTCTTCCCATCATCCTAGGTTTGGCTTTCCAGCCTAACTTCCTGCCCAGCTACTGGCCTGTCAGCTTTTTATTAACCAATGAGAGTAATACATATTCATAGTGTAGAAAAAGATGGTTTCACAGCACACTAAGTATAAAATGAGCTTCAAAGGGGTTTTCTGACTATGTATAAATTAGATACTATGAATATATATTTCTGAAATACAAGAAAATATAAATGACTACATGAAAATATAAATAATGCAACTATAATTGTTCAAACTACATGTCACATAGGAAAATTTTAAATTTTGTGTGCCTGTGTAAGGAAATTCTAATGTGCATCGTTAGACTTCCAGTTATTTGTATTTTTATTGTGTTATGTATCTCTGATATTAGTATTTGACAAATATTGACTTTAACTTCATGTGCTTGATTACTTATTTATCCATAGTATTAGCCATTTAATTTTCCCACAGTGTCATTCAAATTATTTCTATTATTTTAACTCTGCCGCAACCAAGAAAATACTCCACAGCCATCTCTATATTAATTTCTCAGACATAATGTTCGTTTCTCAGATGTCCGGCATGCAAATAATAATACCTATGAAGCATTTAAAATGGAAAGCATCTTCTGAGTCTTCCATGGTGTTCCAGTAAAGGATTAAAAACAGCAAACTTAAGTAGTGTGCACTGAGAGAGATGCTTTTCCTTAAAAGATGGTCATAGTCGCTGGACCAAAGACTTCAAACATAAAATGGCAGGAAAGGAATAGGAAATATTTGTTTATAGAGTGTTCCCACTTTTGGAAAACTTACCAGAACACCAAAACACTAAGAATTTTGTGCCTGTGCTTTAAGTTTCACTTTTGTGTATCATCACATTATATCTTCATTAGAGTCTGTGATGGACACTGTGAGGCAATAGTGTCCATAGTGAGCAGCTGTCACTACTTCATGACCACTTACTGGGGGCTTTGTGAGATCATTCCTATGAAGTAGGATATTATCATTATACCAACTTAACTGACTATAGAAAAGAGTGGTGGTAACCAATGTTATAAAACCAAGCTTTGAAGGTAAAATGTATCAAAGCTTAGACACACACACACACACACACCACACACACACACACACACACACACACACACACACACACACACACACACTACAAATTCTGCTAAATTTTAGAGAATAAAGCATCTAAAGATGTCATATTTTGTTATTGGGAGACTGAAGCAAAATTGTATTGACATTTTTCTCTTTCACATGATTATACCTCCTTTCTGTGAATAAATGTCATTGCAATCTCACCAACAATCATCTCACAGTCTATTTTTTTTTCTTTTTTGCACCTAACACATTAGCCTCCTTTATCTTTCATTGTGTAATCCTTCATAAATTCAATTATTGTTAATTTTTGGTTTATTATTATGACATAAATAAAGATATATGAATTACTACTGTATAGTGAGAATACTGTATATTCGCTCCACTTCAGCTTCATACAAGTTCATTCATTCTTATAACAAATAGTCAGGACATTTTTTATTTTATTATTTCTTTTGTTTTCTTTTTGTTAATCTTAGGGGCCCTTTGCAAATATACTATTCCTTCTGGTTTTGTGTTTTTATTGGATTCCTGCATGTGGGAATATCTGTGTCTCTGCATCCATATGTGTTTCTTGTGCTTTTTATTTGACACTTTTTCTGTATGTTTGCTTGGTCTATTATTTTTTTGTGTGTGTGTGTTTGTGTGTATGTGTGTGCATGCACTCATTTACACATGCCCAATTTTAGAACGTAAATATTGATATTTAAATTATAACCATGTATTTTGTCTTATAATTATTCAATATTCGAAACATACTCAACATTACAAAGATTTTTATTCATTTCTTCACCATTCCTGTTCCCATCTCCAAATATGTTTACATTATTGTTGGTCTGAAATGATAGCCCATTTATTGTTATTACAATAGGGGAACAATTCATATAGATGCATATTAACAGACCCAGAATATATTATATCACCCTAATGACTGCAAACATATCACCAAAATTAGGCATCTCTGATATACAGTATTTCCATGATCCCCTTTAAGGTGCGGTTACATGATTAATGCCAACAGTTCAGAAATGCTTACAACAGACCAAGTAACATATATTATAGTTGTAGAAATTATTCAGGTATTGCCTCTGTTAGGTACATAACTGAAACCAATTTGGTTATATAGAAACAAGTATAGTTACCAAACACTAGATTTTCTAAATTTTTCCAGAACAAAATCATGACAGATTCTAAAAAATTAACAGCTTAACCTACTAATAAATATGGTCTGAGCCCCACATAGAACCTGCCATTGAGCTGTGTATATGGAATGGCTAAACAGAAATTTTTCTTGGCATACATTAGCCCAGGAATCCTCAAAGGAGAACATATATGTTGATTGTCGTCATGCAAAGATGTTCATGACCACTCCCAGACTATCTGAGACAGACAGACTAGGGTGTTTTCTATTTCCAAACGTTGGGACCCATTCATAAGAAATAAGGTCAAAAATGCAAACTGCCATGATGGGCTTTGTGTGTACATTATTATATTAATAGCACAGAGATGGTAGGTGGTACAATTTTCCCTTTGTTCTAGCACAGATACTTCAAACCATGCCTGGTATGTGTGTCAGCTGCAAAAAGATTTGAAAGAGTGAATGATCACTGAGAGGTAATCATAGTATCTTGGGAGCACTTCTTGAAAGTTAAATCGGTGAGTCCAGTACAAACACGCTATGTCTTTGGAAGATGTCAAGTAATTTGATATCTTCTTGCTGTTTTTGAACACATAAATTTGAAGTTTTCATTCAACTTAATAAAAAATTAGGTATATTGTTGTGGTTTTATCTAAGTTAGGATGTAACCTGAGATTTACGTTTTTTGTCTCCTGAATTCTGAAATTACAGGTACACACCTCTAGGTTTACCTATGTATTACAAAGTGTAACATAGCAAATTTTGTGGTATTTATTTGACTAGTCACCATACAAAGACACATATTTCGTTACCTCCAACATTTACAGGGCATTAATTACTAAAAGTGTTTTCATTTGAGAACATAGTACAAGAAAAAACGTCCAAGCCTCACTCAGGCTTTGCTTATGAGCACATCATCTGTGCACTAAGATCACTTGTTTCAGAAACTTTTGGGCTGGAAACAATAAGCCCAGATCCCAAAGAAATTGCCACAATGTGTGTGTGTTTATTTAAAATTTTTAAAAATATGATTTTAGATAGGTATTGGTCTCTTCGGTGTATGCTAGTTTGTTCAGATATCCACTAGATGCACTTTTGAGCACAGAGAAGATTTACCTGAATTCCCAGCACTACCCAGAATCAGCTCTTAGGGTTGTAATTTTGATAGAGAAAACCCAAGTCCCTTTAGTGGGCCAGACATGGCTCTAACCGGGTGACAGGTTGGGAACTGTGAAGGAAGTTGGGACTAAACTGAAAATTTTACAGGTGAGAGGCTAGTGCCAAACACACCTGGCAAAAAGGAAAAAAAAAACCCTCAATAAATTGATTCCTAGTATTTTGCTGTACTCATATATCTATGCCTAACCAATAGTCATCAGAGAGCCTTCCTCCAGCAACTGACGGGAGCAGATGCAGACCCACAGCCAAACATTAGGTGGAGGAGGGAGAGGAAGAATTGTAGGAGCCAGAGAGGCTGAAGACACCACAAGAACATTAAGTGTTTATTTTGACAAACACTGCACTATGCTGTATTGTACCCCTCATTATGAGGAATGCTGAATATGTGTGCAACGTATTGGTTGTTACTTTATTGATTAAGAAAAACACAAACTACCAAAATCAGTGATTAAAGACTTTGATGCCCCATGGAAAAGCATTATATAATGAAATTATGTTTAAAGCTGAGAAGGAAGAACAGTATTAGGAAATTCTGTACCATTGTACCACCTGTCTTAGGAACAAAGTTCAGTGATTAAGGGCACATAATGACCTTTCAAATAATTGCAGTTTGGTTCCCAGCACCCACATTGGCACACAGGCTCCTGTAAAGATAGTTCTGGAGAATCTAACTTCTTTTACTGGCCCTTGAAGGTGCCTGAATTCACGTGCATATACCCACACGTGGGC